CCGGCTTTTATTTGAAGCAGGCTTTTATTAGAGGCAGGCCTTTATTAAAAAAAAAAATCAAAATCAAATTTCCGTCTGGGTTCCAAATGCTCCTCAAGACATTTTCGTTTTCAATAAAGTTGTTGAAAAGACCGTTATACTTACTAGCAGCACTAAATGATATCTGTGTTACATCTATTACTACCATCTATTGGCTGTACGTTACGATGAACTTGAATGCACATTAGGGGATGTTTACACCTGGCCACTTCATGCGTTTTCTCCGATCGGAAAGCTATCTGATTTATCAAAACAATTCTACTTAAATCTGCTCACAAATGCATTTTCGCAAAACGGATATAAATCGCGCTATGTGCATATTTAATGGAGTTCACGCAACCGAAAGCAACTGATATGAGCTGCTGCATTTGATAGATCAGCTAATTTCAAAATCAAAAGACCGCAATAAGAGAGCGCGGCAACAGCCCTGGTAAGATCATTTCGTTTCTTTACTTTTAATGATGAGGAGTATTGTCTGCGACTTACTTTCACTTTAATTTGCAATAGTTTGCATGTTTGCTTTATGAATAGATGCTCAGCTGCCGTGATGCGTGTTGCAGTAGCGTTGTCACAACTTGCTATAACATTACATAGCCTATAACACGCTCTCACACATTTATTTCTTAGCGTGCTTGGGAGGAGTAAAATTTAGATACGTGGTTTCAACAATCAGATGCATTTGATTTACACTTGTGCAGTTTCGTCTGGAATCTCGTCTCAGATCTCCTCCTGAAGAAGTGGTTTGAGTGATCGGATTTAAATCATCTCGAATGCGCTTCGGATGGCATTTATACCTGGTCTTTTCACAATCAGATAGCCATCAGATCACACATCTCTTGTAATGAAAGGCATTTAGGAGATTATCCACACTAATTTTCCCCCGGCCTTTATTTGAGACCGGCCTTTATTTGTCCGCGTTGATCACGCACCCGGCCACTATCAGAGGCCCGCCGTTTATTTGAATACCGGTTTTTATTTGAGGAATTACGGTACATACATGTCCTAATAATAGAGAGTTTCGAGAGCTTCATGCACTCAAGCACTGTATATATATGGTCACCTTCATCAGTTTGGCACTGTGGAGAATCTTCTTTCCTGAAAGGAGTCATTCCACCAGATCCATTACTAAGTTTCCCCTGGAAAACACATCATCATCTTGTTCTCTTCTTTTTTGACTCTATGCTTCCCCTCATTATCTCTCCTTCCAGTTGTGTAACAGAGCCGTCTGTGTCCATTCTGCGCATCATCCAAGCGCCCCACAAAATAGCTCTGCTGCCGTGTGGCTACTCCACTTCTCTTTCCTCACTTCACCTATTTGCATTTCAAAGGCAAACGGCGGATATGTTGGCTGATGCACACACTGACTGAGGTAGATGAATGTATGGCGGGTGGCCGGACGCTCAGAGCCAAGAGCCCAATGATTCAGCTTGATTTTAACTGTTCCCATATTACGGCGTTATACGAAAAATGAGCAAACCCTTTCTCAGAACCCTTTTTTATGATGAATATGATCAGGCTGACTAAAGCATTATGCACACATGTTGGACGTTTTTAGTGATTTTTGCCATCTGAGACTAAATTTGTAGATCATTGAGATTTGTTTTCAAAAGCAAAATTGGAAGCCTTGGATTGTTTCAGTGCGGCATGCTCATCGACGGCAGGTCAACTGACTTTGAAATTACTCTTGTCATTTGACAGACATCTCTCAGAATGTTTTGGCCACATTCCTGCAGTTTGACACAGCCAAAAAAAGTCTAAATCTTATATGCTGACTTTCCAGTAGAGATAACTATCTTTGGTCACTTTACATGTCAGTCAGGTGGCCTGTTCCTAGACGGCCTTTGGGCAATTGAAGCGGTTATAGACCGTCAGTCAAATGTCTGGATATCACAATATTTATCGGGTGACAACAGCTAAAGAAAGAGATTTGTTGGAAGAAAAAAAAAATCACAGTTGATTACATAATCGGGTGTTTCTTCACATTTAGCAATTCCTTTTTGTTATATGAAGATCACATTGAAACTTCCTTTTTTACCATCAATAATTTTTCAAATGCCTTTTATGTTTAGATTTCATTACTTTACCCATGTCCCAGTATTGCAGTAATACGCACCGTTACATTTTAAAAACTAGTGTTATATTCTAAACAAATCGTGAAATGCCATTTTGTTTTGATTATGTGAAAATGTTTATCAAAATCAAAAATGTTGTGGAAAAATGTGGAATGTCATTTCCACTACGCCGAACAAGTTTGCACATAACATTTTTTTTTTTTTTGACAAATTATGCAAACAAATTTATTTAGGATACATTATAAATACTCATTACTCTCATTAATTATACATTACTCACCATATAAGACAAAAAGAAATCTGCCACAGTATCAATTAAACACAGATTTGACATGGTGGAAATGGACAATGTAGTGGGATTTTTACTTGATTTTGGGGGAAAATGACAAAAAATGACAGAATTCTACTGAGAATTCATGAACAAAACTGTATATCAAGTGTTAGACATTGATAGTGATCAAAGAAAAATAAATGCATGAAAGTGTGTTTTAAAAGGGCTAAAAGTGCTCAATAGTGGCTGCCACAAAAGTTAGTTAGAAAAAAATCTTTGCCAGGAAAATCATTTACTAATAATAGCACAAGGACTTGCTTTTGTTTACAGAACACCATTTCAGCGCATCAGTGCGCAAAACTGAAATCAATGCAAACATGTCCCACAGTCTGTCATGCGCTTTACCCAATCTCATTGGTGTCGTTACAATCTTGACAAGCAAAAATCATAACTGACATCAAAAAATAATTTAGTGTACAGGAAGGTTGGAGGAAAAATATGAGAGAGAAGGAGAAGGCTCTCCAATCAGAAGCTACATCCTCAACATTCCCATTACCCATGAACGCATCATTGCCACACACACACACACACTGCCTCTAAATAAAGCATGACATGATGCAGAGCTTCTATCTCTCACTTTCTGGAACTTTCCCCAGAAGGGTCAGATAAGTACGCAGAGCATTGAGGGAAAACATTGTGGAGGAGAAAAGAAAAGAGTGAGGGAGGAAGAGCACAAGGGTGTCATCCACGTCTGGTGGTCTGGACATCATCTTACATAACTGTCTGGCTTCAGCTCAGTGACATGAGAACATATAGCACTAATGACGCTAATGCGCTTTGACAGACTACATAGAGCCTGGGATTCTGTTGGGACACATGCCAGACTTTGAGTGGCATTCGGAGTCTCATGAGCGGAACCGAACAACAAAGAAAGATGCCAACTCAGGCACATCATCTGTTTTCATATACATTTCCTTTCATCTTCAACCACACACAATTCAGTAGATTAAAAGAATAGTTTACCAAAAAATGAAACGACTGTCATCATGTACTCGCCCTCGTGTCATTCCAAACCTGTATGATTTTGTTTATCCGTGGAGCCCAAGACTGAAATTTGAGAATACCCTGGCCACTGTTCGTCTCATAATGAAAATGAAATGGGACAGATCTGCAAACTGACAAAAAAAAAGAAGCATGCACAACATTATCCATATGACTTGTGTACACTATTTAAAAGTTTTCTGAAGCATTACGGTAGTTTCAATTGATGAGGTTTGGTCACGGGACAATGACTTTTGATGGGTTTTGTGGTTGATGTTTTGAGAGAATAATGGCATTAATTGTATTTTTGTATGGTGTATTGTGTGAGTTGCATGTCTGCTTTGAAACAATCCATTTTGTATAAAGCGCTGTTCTAGAAATAAGGGTGAATAATAACAGTTTTGTGCCACTTTTATGGTGTTTTTTTTGTCCTTAGTACAGCACCAGTCCCCTTTATATTCATTATATGGAAAATAATATTCTTCAAAAAATCGCCGTTTGCATTTCTCAGGAAAAAAAAAAATCTGCTTGGATCGATGAGAATGAGTAAATAATGACATACACTACTGTTCAAAAATGCTTATGCTTACTAAGGCTGCATCTATTTGAAATATTATTGAAATAGTTTTACAACTCAAAGGGATAGTTCACCCAAAAATACAAATTCTCTCATCATTTACTCACCATCATGCACCGTTTATGACTTTCTTTCTTCAGAAAAACACAAACGACTATTTTTTTTAGGAAAATAATCCATCTCTGTGAGTCCAATGAATTAATGATGTCTTCTAAATCAATGCTTTCTGTCTGTGACGTTGTGGCGGGAGTGCGTTGTGAAGTTCATGTGAGAAATGGCAGTCCTCTGTGCTTCCACGTTGCTTCTCACTCGAACTTCACAATGTACGTGCCACATTACCTCATGATTGCTCGTATGAACTAGACATTGATTCATCCACTGGGGTCATGTGGATTGTAACCGTTGTCATAATCGTTGTCGTTGTGTGTGATTTTTCAAGCGTCAAACGAGCGGCAGCCATTCCAAAGGCATTATATGGACTCAGAGATTATTTTCCTAAAAATCCTAATTTGTGTTCATCTGAAGAAAAGTCCTATACTTTGGGAATGGCATGAGGGTGAGTGAATGATGAGAGAATTTTCATGTTTGGGTGAACTATCCCTATAGCCATGTTCTATTGAAATATATTTCAAAGCTGAATTTTCAGCATCATTACTCCAGTCTTCAGTGTCACATGATCCATCAAAAGTAATCATTCTAATATACTGATTTGCTGCTCAGGAAACTTTTTGTATTATTATCAATGTTGAAAGCAGTTACACTGCTTCATATTTCTGTTTTCAAGGTTCGTAAATCTTGAGTCATCGTGTCTGTCAGTTCAACCTTGTTTTTGTTGGGTAAACTCAAAGATGTCTCGATGTTAAAAAGGAAAGTCAAAGGTAAGATGGCACATTTGTGTGGTCTTTGAGAAGACAGTAAGTTAATAGCTTCAAGAAAAGGAGTGTAAAAACATGGCATGAGTAATTGTCTCTGGCTCACGTTCTTTTGTCTCCATTCCCAGGTTGCTCACAATGGCCTTATTCTGGAAATGGACCACCCAACATCGGGAAGGATAGCAGTGCCAGGTTTGTATAGAATTTGCTGAAGTGCAAAACATTCCCTGCAGTCCTTCATTCAGATCACTTTTAAGCACCTATTTCCGAGGTGGAACTGAGATGGGGCATTCTTGCATATCGGGAACGCATCCAGTTTCTGGAATAGTTTGTGCAAAAATGTTTATTATTCAAAACATGTATGCAACTTCTTTACTGCAACACAAAAGGAAAATCTTTAGAAGATTCAACAACTAGAAGAAAAGGTTCTATATAGAATCTTATAGAGTTATCAGTCATGGGATCATTTTATGGATTTAGTTGTAATAAATTTAGATATTTAATTTGAATTACATTTCATGAATAAAACAGCTCATTAACATACTGTATCACTAGAAAAAAATGTAATAACCTGTGAAACATAAAAGTATTTTACAATGCAAAGACATTTCCCCTGACATAGAACCTTTTTGGCATAAAGCGTTCTTTAAAATTGAGTCAAGAGCCCTAGAATTCTATTTAGAACGCCATTGAACCTTTTTTGTGTATTCCAAGTCTTCTGAACCAAACAGGTTTAGAACAACATAAGGTTGATGTAAGTAAAGGCATCATTTTTGGGGTGAACTCTTCCCTTTACCTCTTTACACTTGAACTTTCAATTGCTTTTCTATACTATTGTGGGACAACAATCACCTATCAGTCATCCCTAGACACTCTCATCACCCAGACCCTTGGACTTTGAAGAGGTCTACTTCCCTTTGTGACTCTCTTGTATCGAACATTTATTTTGATGTTTTGTTTTGACTTGTCTTTGTCCGTTCAATGAAGTAAAGGTTTCTCCAGTGACTTAAAAATCACCCCATGCTCTTTCATTCTTCGGTGTGAGAGTCCCAGAGAGACGCTTTCTAAACTTGTCTTTTCGTTTGATCGTCCACATATTTAAAAGAAGCCATCATTGATCCCCACAATGGACAGGTCTGCGGTCTGGTGAGCTTTTTGCCCCTAGAAAACAATGTTGAACGGAAAGACAACATTTTAGAAAGGTTAAATGCAGATGTTGGCTGTCGCCAAGACAATGTACAGTCATTTTTCTCTCAACAACTCGATTCCCGCTGTTTTCGTGGTGCTTCAAATGTCATATCCTGATGGACTCACTCCAGACAGGTGGTTTTACTAACAGTAAATTTAGTTGCGGTTTGCAGCTCTGTAAACACACAAGTACGTGAACGACCCATGCTAATGATCTATGCTTTTCCCTTCAGTGACTAAAAAGCAAAAATTGGCAGGAAAGGACCGCTAATGGTTTTGTCATGGCTAGTTGGTTAATCCTTTTGTCTATGCATACAAAGAGTCCTTAAAGTTCCATCCTCACCGCCCACCCAATCTTATCTTTTTCACGTGCGCCAAAAACGTTTTTGAATGAAAAGCTCTCCAGCCAATTCTGCAAGCTTCCACAACCACAAAACAAATGCATTCCTCGTCAACTGTCTCTGGAGTGATACCGGGATAATCAGGCGGGTCCTTTGATGGCCTCGAACCGTTGTTTACCAGTTCATTGTTAGCATGTTTGTTGTCTCCATCCGAACCAAATCAAGGATGATTGTCAAGAATTTCTCCGAAAAGAAGGGGCAGAAACCACAACAAACACCTTTTTCCATTCCGCATTCCTCGTCCCTGACCCATAAATTTGCTGTAACACCACAACGCATACTCGAGGCCTCTAATCTTGCACAGCTATTTACATAACATCACTGTCTGTCCATGTTTTCAGATGGGTTTTTTTTCTCACCAGCAGCTGCACATGTGGAGCGTTTCCCGCCTTTGGTGACTTTGTGATGTTATCAAACATTTCGCAGTAGATAAGCTGTTCGTTTTTGAGCACAGCAGTCGGTACCTCGCTATTTATTCCCTCTAAACCCCAATGTGGTTCTTCACATCAAATGTGAGGCACTAAAGAACCCAAAATGGAGCCCTGGACAACATACAGGCGCGAAATTGGCCATTAGCTGCCGTCGACTGTAAGCAAGTGTGTAATGGATGTCAGGGGTGCATGTATCCACAGCTGAATGAGACCAAAACGGCTTTTTACTAAGCAATCGGACAGCAATGAGGGTTATCAGATTACATAATAGGCAAATTGCTAATGACCAGGCATTCACAGGGATGCCTGTGTGGGCGAAACTACAGGAATGCACGTTAAGAAACATCGTCCGGCTTTTTTTTAAGCCACCAGAGAGCGAGAACGAAAAGGGCTCAGAGGATGTTTTTGTGCCGCTGATTGCGAGAAGCTGCCTCATTAGCGATTGTGCAGGACAGTGTATTGTGAGGCACTTCCCAAAATAAACCCCTTTATTTAAACCAAAGGCCCTTGGCAGAAGCTTCTTGTTAGCTGAGTTTGCGGTTCTCTGGAATCTGACCAGCTAAGGTGAACATTTGATGATGTGGGAACGTTAAGAGAGTATTTCTGCTTCTTTGGAAGAGTTAAAGCATAAATCAGCCCGATTTTGCAAAGGACTCTTTATGTGACTTCCTCCCACAGTGAAAAACAACAACATTTTTGATCAGTATTTCCGTTTTCCAGTAAGAAATATGTAAACATCCTTAAATAAATTTACTTCAGAAGCAAACTTAATTCATATATTCTCTAAAAACAGGTCTTAATATCCGAGAACATTGATAAATATATTTTGCTTTCAAGGATGTTTAAGTAGTAAAACAAAACATACCTGTACTAATTAGGAATATCATTTGAATCTGTTCCTGTTAATGCTCATTAAAATATCGGAAGGAAAGCGATAGGAAATGTTTTTTAAATTTCATATTAATATTCAATAAATCATTTAATTTCATAAAACTTTGGTTACACTTTATTTTGACGGTCCACTTTAGACATTCTGTTGTAACGTTTCACCTGCATGTCAACTAAGTCTCGTTAGAGTATTAATTGAGTATTAGTAGACTGTTAGGGTTCGGGTTTGTCGAATAAGTCGACATGTACATGCAAAGTTACTTATAGTCAGTAGAATGTCTGTTGGTGAACAATGAAAATAAAGTATTAGCAGATATGAAGCAGACAGACATACTCTAATGAGAGTTAGTTAACATGTAAGACCAATGTTACTTATAGTCAACAGAATATCTAAAGGGGAACATCAAAATAAAGTGTCATCAAAAGTTTTATAAAAGTGCTCTATATGACTGTTGTACTATATTGCAAGTCATACTTTAAGTGAGGACATTTGAGTGAATCCCCCAAAGACACAAAAAAATGTCTAGCCCATGTTCTCATCCAAAATTAAAGAATTTAAGTGAATACATATTTGAACTAATGCCTTTTTAACTGTGTCTAGACGTTGTTTTGGAATCTGGATGAGGGACAGAATCTGTCCTTGTTGGAGGTGTGCGATATCTTCAACATCCACTTTTCTCAGAGTTACGATTTTCAAGTTTATGTTCATAGTTCTCATTGTAATTATCACGCTTTGAGCGAACAGGCTTTTATTGTGTTGGGCAGAGCTGTGTAACAAAGTTTTCCACCAAAAAACCCAGACAACAACAACAGCAAATGGGTTTGGACTGGCATGGGCAAATGAATAATGTCCAAAAAAGTACAATTTTGATTTAAAAAGTCTTCACCACTTAAGCTCTAGTAACAGTCAGCAAATAATACAAATGGTTAGGATTCATGACCATTTAAAGTTGACCATCTGTAATTCTATTATCAGAGTAATTGCTACTATAGTTCTTGGCGTGTGGTTTTATAGAGCGGTACGGTGAATCCCCCCATAGAGTTTCTCACTGCTGTGAATTGTTCTTTTCCTGACATTAGAGGGTTTGATGTGTTCCATAATAACATTGATTTTTACCATCTTCTAGAACAGTATGTAATTGTCTATGTATTCTGCAAGAACACATAAACGCTGATGCACATTATGTGCTCTTTAGCTGTCAATCCCAGAGAACTACACCAGCTCTGAACGCTACACCTAAACTTCCTCAAGTGGGAAGAGACTGTGTGTGCTTTGCAGTGAGACTGCTTTAGTTTCTGTTCATTTAAAAGTAATGAATTCTTAAAAAGAATAAAGTAAAGAGTAATTTCAGATCAAATCAATATTCCTGTCAAGAGTTTGTTTAACAAGAACATCTGACTGTACATTATTCCTTATGTAGAAGTAACCCGTTGGTTTGCCTATTCATCTAAAACTGCAGTCAATACTAACATTTATAATTTTTTCATAAAAAATCATTGCCATATAAAAATAGGCTTCATTAAAATAAATGTTATAATAAATAATACGTTCAAAAAATGGACACACAAATGAATGTGACTGTATGTGCATTAAAGAATAAATTCAGAACTCCTGAAGTAAAGTAGCACATTAAGGCCACGTTTACACACAGCCGGGTATTTAGAGAAACGAATATTTCCCCCTCCTCCGTTTTCAATAATAACATCATGCACACACCCGCATAAATACGCCGCGAGCGCCATCATAACTATGCCAAACCTATGGGGGGCAGTGTAGGGAGAAGGATAAAGCCATGCAAGCCAATCAAAATCCTCAGAATCGACAAGAGAGAACCTAAAACCCCGTTTCTCCCAGTTGACACGACAACACATAACCGGCGTTTTCAGAAATCTCCACTTTGGCCGGAGTTTTTAGAAATAATCGTTTTCCGTGATAAAAACGGGGTTTTCGTGTAAATGAGAGGCCAAACCGCAGGGAAATATCTGCGTTTTCCCTTCGTGTAAACGGGGCCTAAGGTAGGGGAGGGAGGTTGGCTAGTTTGGTTTGAACTTGTTTGATTTGTCAAGCTTTGTGGCTGTCATCTGTAACCTTATTGAAACATATACGACATACTTGCTTCCCCCATACTTCCCCATAGTTTCCCCGTCCTCCATCTCGGAGCCGGGCAGGATGTAGGAGTGTAGTCCTGAGGGAAATTTTATGAATGAGAAGGTACGGACATGAGATGGTGAGAAAGGCTGTAGGCAAAGTACATCTCCTCTGACGTAAGATTCCCAAACTCCC